GTAGATATAGATGTAGCATAGTAATGCTAATTGTTCCTCCTACCCTTATACCTCAGTAATCTAACATAGTGCATTTGGCCCATGTATATGTAGGGCGTGAATAATATACAATAAAGTTCATTGTCATTGTTCTAAAACATGCCTAACAATTTTGTAGAATTTGCATTAATTCGACAGGTACAAGTGTAGACTTCTATACATCCTACCTACCGACCAGGCTACCGACAACAATACAACCACACCCCACAACTCACAACCCGGATATAGTCACAGTCCTCCTCAATTGCGGCCCTACATTGTATATACGGCCCTATATACTTACTTCGGACACTTTACAACGTCAAAGTACGTACCTGTCAAAACGAAAGAAATGAGACACAAGGCTCCAAGAAAGCGGTACGTTAATATGTGATCCATGGCTGCGACGGCAAGACTATTCGCGTTAGGCCATGTTGATTTGATTATATGGATGACATCCTCCGGGAGCCCCAAAACTGATGCGCGCGTGCGAATAAAAAAAAGTTTTGCAAAAAAAAGTTCTTTTCATTATGAAATTTACGTGGTCATGAGGGTTGAGCAAATGGCACAGAATATGGTTTGGCGAATAATCTAGTCTTCAAGTTCATTTCTTTACAATTTCTTATTTTTTCGTTTGATTTTGGCATTCTACGACATTGGTATAGTTTTTATTAATTTTTTTTTGTAACTTATGGTATATCTTTGCTCATTTTGCAACTGTTTTCTACGATTTACAGTATGGTTGAAAACTTTTTTTTTTTGGAAACGGCCGAAAATTCATGCGCGCGCGGATGTCATCCATATAATCAAATCAACATGGCCTAATGTTTGGAGTATGTTTAGTTCGTTGCATGCAGGTGGTTTTATCATAGCCTCTACCTAGCCTCCGTAGCAGGCTTACGGAACTGGGGGTTTGGTGGTCTTCGGCTGTTTTCTGAACGGGGGTAATTCAACCAGGCCGGCTATGTTGTCTATATACAATCAGAAAATAGCACATAAAAGCTCCCGAAGACCCTGAAATCTACGTGGTTTTGAAGGTTGAACAAACGACACAGAGTATGGTTTGGTGAATAATCTAGTCTTCACATTCATTTCTTTACATTTTCGTCTTTTTCGTTTGATTTTGGCATTCTACGACATTGGTATCGTTTTCCAATGTTTTTTTTCCAACTTACAATATATATTTGCTCATTTTGAAACTGTTTTGTATGATTTACAGTATGGTTGAAAACTTTTTTTCTTTGAAACGACCGAAAATTCATGCGCGCACGAATGTCATCCATATAATCAAATCAACATGGCCTACCATGACACAACTGAAATATGTACTCATAATCACTTAACACACAAAAAAACGCAACGTATCTCTCAAACAATGAACTGGTCTGTATATACAGATATGTATATACAGATATGTATGTGCTAAATGGTCTAAAAACGTCCAATCTATGTTCCTACGCCACATTGGCAAAGAAAAGA